TTTTTTTTATATTGTATTTTGTAACAATGTCAATTGCAAAACGGTGAATTGTAAAATCCCGCCCGTTCGGCTCTACTTCGTACATAGATTTTTATATTATAATATAATTTTTCATTGAACATTATTAAGTACTCTCGCTATGATACTTTTAGGCCAATCAGAAACATACGTGAATGTGATTTCGCTGATCAATGTCATAAATTGAAATTATAAACATTTTTGAAAATTTTTCCTTGAAATTCACAATTATTTCTGTGTAATGAATAAATTCGAAAAACATTTCATTTGTGGATCACAGTCAATGGTATTAAATCGATATAGAGATCCTACTGCATTTTCATTTTGTAAAACGTTCGTTTGTATGAAATTTAAGTTAATATTTGGTCGAATTCATTTATTTGGATTCATATTATATGAACGAAAACTAATGAAAATGAGTGGACGATAATTATTTGTCTTCCAATTAGTGTAATGCAGTTCTTCTGCGCTACATCTATCCCCGAGTATCATAAAACCCCCGCGAGAACCTAACCTAAATCTCACGCCATAAAACATACACTAGCAGTGATCGTGCTTTATCGAGTGTTGCCCTCATGACCTTTTTTGACTCGATTGATTTATCTAATGGCAAGGACTCAGATTTATGTGGCGTGACAGAACTTAAGGCCGATTACGTAATTAACCTGAGCGCTTTGAAACACCCGGTAGAAGCGGTTGTAGCTCAACACCTGGCCAGGATTCCTGGTAAGTCGAGCTATAGCAAATAACGTTAATCCATCGGTTGGTGTCAAGCGATTGCGAGATTTTCATTCATGAGATCTCCCGGAACTCCTGTAATCCTTGTAAACAATTAGACTGGAACTGTGCGATGAAGAAACAAAGATTAAACCTTTGCAGCCCGTAATTTTGCTACGTATAAGTTTGAAGGTGATATTTATTTGCCCAACGACTTACAATGGCAACGTAGGCCTTGTACAAATGAAAAACGTCGGTATTTCAAACTCTTGTTCTATGGTGGGAAGTCAATACAATAAATCTCTTTCAAGAGATTAGCCAGACTTTATGTCTTCAATTATGTTACACTGTTTACAAAGGCAAGTTTAAATTTGAAATCTTCCAGAAAGTTATTTACTTCGTCCAAATGTTCCTTCACTTGTTTCAATGGTTGCTAAGCCGTACCCTGTTAATAGCCTCCAGATACCGTCATAAATCTCTCACTTTTTGGACAAAGCATAGAAAATTTAGTATTAACAATATTAAACATTAATCAAAAATATTAATATGAAATTCGAATGTAGTTAGAGTATATTTGCATGTAAATCAAATAGAGTTTTAAAAAAGCTTACGTTGTGCACACATAAAATAAAAAAACAGATTATTGTTCTTGGTTATTTAACAACAATTGAGTGAAGACTGGACGATACAATGAAATGAAAAAAAAAAAAAAATGTTAGATATTTTAGACGTACCATAATATTTTGTAATAATAAAATTTATATCCGCTGATCATAATTGCCTCATTCACCCTTACGTGAAATATGCTGTGAAAGTATCAATAACTATCAGACGTATAGTTATAAAAAGACCAAAACAAGATGGATTCGGTCTCCATAACCTAGTTATTTATTTTTGTATTTATATTTCACACATAACCTAGTTATTTATCTTTGTATCTATGTTGTTTCACACATAACCTAGTTATTTATCTTTGTATCTATATTTCACACATATGAAAGATTTTCACCCTGTGGATTCAATCGAACTAATTATGAATCACTATTTATTCGATCGGTTGACTTGTTTATGGTTGGATAAAGTCGCGTAAAGTAGCGAGAAATTATACGACGGCGATATTTTTCGCAGTTAATGGGAACCAGCGAGTTTCTGTGAGAACGATGGTATCCTGGTATATTTCTGCGGGCAAATCACGCGTGAAATTGGCTTGGTCTCTTTGTTTATAATACTTCGCGTTTATAACATCGTGCATTCATTATAATTTCGCTGGCACGAAAAGATTTCATGATTCGAGTTTTCTGCACAGTTTTACAACGAGATTTATTAGAAATTCTTCTTTCCTTTCTTCATGTCCTTTTCTTTTTTTTTTTTTTATTTTTATTTTTAGAAAGCAATTTGTAGACGATGATTAATTGAATCTAATTATCCGGGGGTTTTTGTTACACGTGTTTGATTATTTTTCGTTCGATAAATATGTAAATACACATGAGTCACGAAGTTGCGAAACATGTCAACTGAGAGTTCAAAAAATTGCTCGCTCATCCGGGCAAAAAACGCATTATCATAACTGGTACAAATTCATTGGGTGGAACGTTCTTTTTTTACGTCGATGAACCTATAAGACACAAACGAACGTCGAGAGTTTTTTTCTTTTTTTTTTTTTAAATTTACATTAGAGGCAGATAAGCGGAATTTGAAATTAAAATTTCGTGCTCCTCCTCGTTGATTTTTCAATCCTTGATCTTCCAGCTTCAAAGTTCTCTGGAATTTATCTGAAGTACTGGAACTACCTGGTAAAAATGATCAGTTTGTAATTTTTCACGAAAATTTTCTAGATTTACAACGATGGATCTTCCAAGAAAGCGTTTCTTTTATTACGCTCTATGTTTAATTTTCATAGTACCAAATTTTTATATAGTCACTAAATAACTCGAGATATTTGTCCTAATTAATTGTATTGCAAATTTTGTCTGAATTAACAAATGACGAAGATGTGCAAGTATTTTTTTTATAGTCATTGTAAATAAAAACTTGCATTCCTTGTTGCATTATAAATTTTTTCTTATCTTGTGCATTTCAGTTTTTACGACACAAGTTTTATTGGGTTTTTTTACTATTGAAATAACGAAAAGAATTTATGTATGATTAAATCTTTTCATTTCGCACAAATTTTCGTTGATACGAAAGGAATTTAATTAAACGCGTGAACAAAATTTTTTATTCAAATTATCTACAGACCATTGTCAATATGAGTTGATGAAAAAAAAAATCAATCTGAAAAAATGTACATCTGGAAGTCATTTTCTACAAACATATTTAATTGTATAAAATTATACCTTCTAAAAAAATTAATGCACAGCACGGATAATAATATTAGATATAGGTATAATTAGTATTTAATTGTATAATAATTCCATTAATTTCTTTTAGGTTAATAGAAAGAAGAATTAGCTCTTTAAATTTTATGATTTTTGCAATAAATAATTGTTATAGATATGATAAACACATTTCTTCTTTTCACACAAATATAAACAGATATATAATACTGTTTTCACGTTAAAATAATTGAAATGAAATAATTGTAATGTTCATATTAATGACCAGTGAATGTAATTTGTGATTCACAATAATATTTATACTTCGTATTTCTCATTTCTATTACTTTTCATTGACCAAATTCATTCAAACTTTCCATCAGGATTTTCATGCTATTTTC